AAACAAAAAAAATTCATTTACTTATTTTCATCATAGGTTTAAAATGTAACTTTTATTTTGTTTTGTTTACAGGCATATCCAAATCCCCTGCTGAACAATAATTCTGCCTATTCTGCTACTGAGTATGTCTCATTATTTTGGCTAATGCACATTTTATTCTCGTTTGGAAATAATATTGATTATCATTCAAATACTAATGAAAAAGTGATGTAACCTTTGATTCAGGCAATATTTTGTTAACATGGATGATGTTGTTGCTCAAAAGGTAAGTAATTTGTTTGAGTTCAAATTTAAATTCTAATTCATTGTTATTGTTATATATTGAACCGTTCTGATTTCTGTGGAGTTTCATTTATTCCATTCAGATTGTTGTTGAGAAGAACTCTCTAAGTGGAGCATATTTCCGACTTGCTGGACCTCGCCAAAAGGTTCACTAAATGTTCATTTTCTTTTCTTCTTCTACCTTTTTCCCCTGCAATTACTTTGACATCGTCATTTTAACTATTTTAGATATTAATTAACACATCTAATCTTTTTCAGGTGTTTTTTGAACCCGAAGATGTTCGTGCATGTATTGTAACCTGTGGTGGCTTGTGCCCAGGTCTTAACACAGTGATTAGAGAAATAGTAGGTGGATTAAACCACATGTATGGCGTCCACAAAATTGTTGGAATTGAGGTAATTACATACTCTTTAATTATTATTCTTAATATCATTGCTACACAGGCATGTTTGAAAGTGATTTTTAAAAAAGTAATTTTACAAAAAGTAATTTTACAAAAAGTGATTTAACTATAAKTGATTTTGAAAGGACGTGACAAAAAAATCACATTCCAAATGATTAAACTWGATCCCTTTCATGCAAACATACCCAACAAATTGACATAATCATGCATAAAATTGATTATTTGACTCAATACAGGGAGGATACAAAGGTTTCTACGGTGAGAATACAATTTCATTAACACCAAAATCAGTGAATAATATCCACAAACGTGGTGGCACAATTCTTGGAACATCAAGAGGTGGTCACAATACGTCCAACATTGTTGACAGCATTCAAGATAGAGGCATCAATCAGGTGAAAAATCTGATAAAAAGTTAAAAATTTTCATGATATCTTAACTTGGAAGTCATATGTAAAATTTTTAAAGTATGGTTTTTTCTAGTTTCTTAAATTTGCATTCTGGTTTTCAGGTCTATATACTTGGAGGGGATGGAACTCAAAAAGGAGCTGCTGCTATTTATGAGGTAATGGAAACTGTTTCTAAAACTATGGGTATGAATAATGCCCAAAGATTGAAGAGATGTTGAAATCTTATATGAATTATGTTTCTCATTTCTCTAGGAAATTAGAAGGCGTGGCCTCAAAGTTGCAGTGGTTGGAATTCCAAAGACTATTGATAATGATATTCCGGTAAATACAATTAAAATTTTATTTGTTGATAATTTATGAGTTATGCATTAACAATCAAATCTATATTTGAAAATTTTCACTGAGAAGCATCGTGTTCATCTTCTTTCAGGTAATAGACAAGTCATTTGGTTTTGACACTGCCGTTGAAGAAGCTCAACGTGCTATTGATGCTGCTCATGTTGAAGCAGAGAGTAACGAGAATGGTATAGGCTTGGTAAAGTTGATGGGTCGCAACAGTGGTAAGTTTCATCACTTCGTAGCTAGTTCTGTATGAGAATTTTCAACTCAAAATACATATTTTTTTAACCAATATATATTTCTCAATATCAAATCACATAGGGTTCATAGCAATGTATGCGTGCCTTGCCAGTCGAGACGTTGACTGCTGCCTGATACCAGAGTCGCCCTTCTATCTCGAAGGAGAGGGTGGTCTTTTCGAGTACATTGAACATTGCTTGGAAAAACAAGGCCATATGGTTATAGTTATAGCTGAAGGTGCCGGTCAAGAACTTGTTTCCAAAAGCACACAAAAAGCCGATCAACTAGATGCTTCTGGAAATAAGCTACACCAAGACGTTGGCTCGTGGATATCCCAACAGATAAAAGTTTGTCCTCTCCCCTCAACTTTACGTAAAATATTTCACTACTTTGAAAATACTTTAATTTTAACTAAAAATGTTCTTGTTTGATCTAGAATCATTTCGAAGAAAAAGGGACAATTCCAATCAATCTCAAATATATAGGTTTAACTTTCTCTCCATTTGCTAAAATTTTCTACTTTAACACGTGTAATAGCATGTAACGTTTTTGTTTATCGTCTTGGCAGATCCCACGTATATGATTCGTGCAGTTCCTAGCATTTCATCAGACAACATCTTCTGTACCCTTCTTGCTCATAGTGCCATTCATGGCGCAATGGCAGGATACACTGGTTTCACAGTAGGCCCGGTGAATGGACAACATGTTTACATACCATTTCACGTAAGTCTAAAACCAAAATCTTTTGAAAATTTGTCAAGCAGCATTATGAAATGAGGTTCGTCACTGTTTGAATGTAGATCAAATTTATGTTGCTTTTATATGTGCAGCGGATAATCGAGAGACAGAACAAAGTTGCTATTACTGATCGGATGTGGGCGAGGCTATTGTGTTCTACCAACCAGCCAAGTTTCTTGGATCCTAAACACATCACTAAAGCTTCTTACTAGTTTGGAATCCGATGTAGGATCGTTAGTGGTTTAAATTGTAATTATCTTTAATTTAATTTTGCTTAGTTTCCTAGATATTTTATTGAGGTGATTTAATTTTGTGGCAACCATGGTGGTCAATTCCCGTTTCCCTTAGCCCTAACCTGTTTATAAAGGCAGGGCTCCCTTCTGTAAACATTTTTTTTTTCTTAATGGATAAAGTAGCTTCTTATTTATCAATGTCAATTAAATTTTAATATAAAATTCATTATTACAAAAATAATAAAACAATAAAAGTGAATAGTATAATTAATACCAAGGTTATTTCAATAAATAAAATTGTATTAATATATTTTTAATCGATGTGATTTAATTTTTAAAAAACAGTTATTATTGGAGATAAAATCAACTTTTTAAATTAAAATCAAATAAACATAACAAACACATTATTAAATAGGTAACTATCGACTTATCCTTTTACCCAAAATATATATATATATATTATCAACTGATATTCTTAATAGAATTTAAAAAACCGTGCAATTTTTTCAAATGAATTTTTAAATTCATATTCCATGTGCCAGTAAGTCGGAACGGTTCCCTTAAAATTTATAGCATTCCTTAATTCTGTTTCTACTCATAGTTGAGGAGGTCAGTATTTTCCACTCGCTAATCTTCCATTCTCTTTTCTTTATGTAAATCTCTATGTACGCTTCCGCTTTGACGATGACGATCGTTCCAAGAAGGAAATATCAATTGACAACTTTCGATATGTTACGGAAGATGTCCTCACTTAACGATTATATCCTAACCTATCACTAGTTTGTATCTTGCATTCCTCATTGTTATTTCTACTTTTACCTGCTATTTTCTATTAATTTCACAAGAGTAGATGATTGGTTTATGCTTAATTTTCTATTAGGTTCACAATAAGAGATAATTGGTTTGGTTTATCACATGGAAAACTGATGCTTCTTACTAAAATTTAGAACTGTTTTAAAGTTTAATTATCCTTCATTTAATTTTACCTTGCTTAGTTGCCTTGCTTTTAACCATATTTAGAACCTTTAAATGTCAATGTCGACAAAAATGTCGAAGTCATAATTTCATAAAAATGTCAATGGATAATTCTGAAGAAGTTGTAGAAATAAAGCAGCATAAAAACATTTAAATTAACATTTCATTATTTATATAGTACTAACATTTTATTGATATTTTTCAAATTTTGTGGTATCAATTTACCTCTCATGTCAATATTGAACACATGAATACATAAAAACTTCAAATTAAAATATCGACATGTCGTCGGATATGTAATACCATATTCAGAACGGGGAGAGTTTACCCAAACGATTTTCAGCACTCAAAGAAAGTATTGAAGGGCTGCAAAAATGGTCAAACAACTTTCAAGTCGAATTACCAGCCTACAATTTCAAGAAATTGAGATTGATGTGAGCCAAATTCAGGCGAAGACAAGAATTAACATCATTTACAAAGAGTAAATTACTAATGAAATCAAGTTTGTGATTTTGAAGGGCCTAAGAGATACATCATGGGAGAAAGTTGCATTATGTTTACAGCCAGATGTGTACAAACTTATGAACTAGGCAACAAAAGAGTGGCGATGCATAGCTTCATCTCTCGCCATGAAAACGTTGTTCATAACATCTTTAAGATTCCTGCAACCTATGAGCTTCATGTCTCCCAACTCTACCACTCCTAAACAATTTTCTGCTGATTTGGGTACCACACATCTCTTGAAACCCAGTTTCACCACGGTATTGATTCTCTTTTCCATTCTACTTACCTGAACATTTCCTCCAAATATTTTCATACCATAAGCTTAAGTTATGTTATGCCCCAAACTTAGGCAGTCAAAGCTTAAATATTGACTTCTTACCGTGCGAAGCTCACCGCCGAGACCGATTTCACCGATGAATGCAATGTCATTTGGAATGGGGAACTCTAGAAAGCTGAAGAGAAACATATAAATTTTAAAAAAGAAAAAATAAATGTAGTTAGAAGCTAGCATGGATAGAGACACGAGACACGGATATAATGCGACACAGACATGGTGATGCGTCATTTTCTAAAAATGTAGGACACGGATCTAGCAAGGAACCAAAGTCATGTTTATTAAAATATACAAGTTTTCCATTAAGATATCATTTGTATACGATGAAATTCAAAGTCAATAATTAAGTTTATGTATTTTTATGCTTTAAAAAATGAGTTTAACATATTTTGCTATCAAAATTAATTATTTTGTCATATATTATTATTTGTCTTTTTATTATGCTAACAAGTGTTCGATACGTGCCTAATAAGTGTCGGATCTATATTAACTTTATACCACTAGTATGTGACACACACCTATTAAACTAACAAGTGTCCGATACATGTCCAATAAGTGTTGGAGTGACGGAATGTCCAACACAAACATGTTACTTAAAATGAAGTGTCCGTGCTTCTTAGGTAGGAAGAGTATGATCTGAATCATTTAATAGAGGAAATAGTTGGAATCACATGCCTGCTGCAAATTGCCATTGCAATTGCAAGATCTCCAGCAGTCTCTGTCAACGTCACCCCACTGACAACATTTAAAAAGATGACCTGCAATATCAATAAAGTAAAAAATTGAGAAAACTCATCCTTTAAGGATTTAAATACGATAAGGGAAGAATAAAATCAAGTCCTGACAAACAAAGTGAGAAGTGAAGAAATTCTGGATGGGGAGAAAAAACGAGAGAGGTGTCAACTCACACTTTCTTGTAGCTTCAAACCAGCTTGCTTCATGAGAACCTACCATTGATAAGATATTAAATTAAATGGTGAATAAATTCAGAACCAACCAATAAAGAGTTTGTAATTTAACAACCAAAGAGTTTGTAATTTAACAACCAAGTATATCATCAAATCTTTATATCATCAAATAATAATTCGCATTTTATCTATTTACGGGAAGGATTATATATATATATATATAACACTACAAACGTGGGAGTGGAAATTCAACCTTCGACGTACAGGGTAGGTTAATACTAATATCTTAATCATTGAGTTAGAGTTCAAGTTCATAAAAAAAGATCCAACAAAAGTAGCAGCAGTATGCTTGTGACGACCAGAAACATTTACATCACCAGAAAAGTTTCAAATAACAGTGTACCGATATAATCATATCAGCCTTGCTCTGTTGAATCCCATTAACATGTCTAGTAACGGATGATCTGGACAAACACAGTGCCTGCAGAAAATTTTCTTGTAGTCAATCAAATTATATATATCAAAACTCAATATATTTTCTTTTATAACCCAGGAGTCAGGAGCTTTGCACCCCTATAATCATATTCTTATTTGAACTATAATCATTTTTAGTCTGAAGGCAATAGCATATGATAATTTTAGTGTATTAAAATTAAGTAAAATATAAATATCAACCTGCGAAACAGCAAGAACCAGATTACCAGAATAAACATAAATTACTTCATAGAAGGTCTTCGTAACAAAATCATTGCGTCCCTTGTGATTAGAAAACTATTTCACTTCAAGAAGCTTTAAAACTATCGTATTACTTTTTTGAGGTAAATATACACTTTTTAGTCCTGAGACTACACTTCAATGTCATTTTGGCCTATGAAACTTTTATTAATTTTGAGACTCAGTGTTATATTATCTAATTAAATTTATATTAAATATGTTTCTTACACGAGTCTCAAAGTTTCCAGTCAGAGAAAATTTTAGCATATAATTCCGATAATTTTTTCCAGACAAATAAGGTTAAGTAATATCAATTAAGCTTAAATTTTCCAAAAAGAACTTTTCCCTTTTTGAGGCAAATCCGAAGAGAACTCTTGGGGAGGAGGGTCTCAAAATTTTAATCTCGTAAGACCAGCCTTTATAAAAGAATTCTGATGTAAATAAAATGTTAAATATCAAGAGGAAGTAAATATATTTCCGTTTGTTTATTTCCTGACTTTTTAAGGTCTTTTTCTTTTATATTTATTTACTATAGCTAATAGTTATACTAACTTAATAAATCAGGATCGTGTCAATTAGAAATATAGAATTAATAAATCAGCACCGCATAATAAATAATTTTTAAAAATGTGACTCAAAAAAATAGAAAATAATGGAAGTATATAGACCTCTAATAAAAAAAAAACGCTGTAATGTACGAGATGAAATGAAGGATGAAACAGGAAGAAGTACCTGAATTTCAAGCAGGAAGGTACGAGTTCCATCCATGATTACGGCAACCGCAAGCCCAGCCAGATACTCGGAATTAGAATCGGCATTATGATCCCTTCTAAACATCTCGCTCGGATTCGACACCACTTCCAGTCCCGATGGTAACATTTCAAATACTCCAAGTTCATCTGTTGATCCAAATCGGTTCTTCACTGGTCGAAGCAGCCGATGTGCGGAGCACTTTTCCCCCTAATAACATCATCATCCATACACCCTTATTTCCTTTCACACACCAATCATTTCTGAAATATAGTTCAAAGTACAATTGGACAAACTCAACAGAAAGCAATTTTGATCTGATTAAAAATATTTTTTTGAATGACTAATAATATTTACTTAACAAAATATTTCTAGACTAACACTAAAGTAGTTAAAATTAATACAAGCTGCTCAAATTAAAAATTTTAATGACAGATAGGAAAGGAATTATGTGAGCAGTAGTGACTAGTGGGTTAAGGTTAGAGAGGAATTAGTGAGAGAAATTGAACATGCAAAGAGAGAACGACCAGAGAAATTCTGTATAGGTGAGAAATTGTATAAGTAGAAGCTAGTTAGAGAAGACGTGTGCAATGAGAAATTAGTGCAAGAAAATGTTTACATAGAAGTTAGTTAGAGAAGGTGTGTGTTATGAGAAATGAGTAGGAGAAAATATGAATGAAGTAAAATCGCGAGAAAGGGTGTGGTTATATGATTGAAATCGAAGGCATAAGTCAGTAAATCTGAACAATAATCTCATCCTACAATAGCACGCCTAGGAAAGATAATAAAGGTAAAATATAAGGGATGTACATGTTACCCACTTCCATATACAGTACTACATCCACAATGTGCTCCAGAACTCGAGGGCCAGCAACTTCTCCTGATTTGTTCACATGCCCTATCTGAAAATATTACAACAATCGTGACCTAAATATTAATTCCAAACATATATTTATGCATAAGATTCTTTTACAGAGTAAGACTACTAAATAAGTTTCTAATGGTACGATCTGGCAAACAAGAAGGTTTGGACAATCTGCACCAAGACAGGCTACAAAAACAAACTGATCCCACAAAATAGAAAACAACCCCTCTTCTCCCATAAAAATCCCATGAGAAGAGAAGACTCATGATATTACTGGGAAACACAGAAATCCGGCAAAAAAGGTTAAAATGGGAATGTCAAAATCGAAAAAAGCCATTGAATCAAACAAAGGATGAAAAGGTAATATTGAGTTTCTTCGCACGTCAAACCTGGAGAGAGATACCTGTTGTAATTCTTGCTTTGAACTTTAACATGAGTATTAATCCTATTCAAGAAAAACTCCCATATAAAAAAAGCCTGAAAGGAATGGTTGTAGGTGACAGATGACTAATCTTTCGAACCTCTCAAGTACAAAACTTTATTCCGAATAATTACACGCTAAAATAATGCTATAGCTTTAAATTCAAAGGTTCAACAATTGAAAAGTTAAATAAAGAAATTTCATAGTGGAAATACAATAATTGATGTTTCTGTTTACTTACCAATAAGATGGGGATGCCGGTCCTCTTTGCAAAACGCAGCAGGGCCGAGGTGCATTCCTTCACCTGCCGGGCATTGAAATTCTTAAGCTTAGCCTCAGGTAAATTGTACAGTTATGAATCAGTGGACAAACATAAAAAAGTTTCACCTAGACCACATGTTTAGAAGAATAATGTTTCCGACCTGTCCAATCCCTCCAGCACTTCCAGCTACTCCTTGTAAATAAACTGTTTGGATAGAATCAATGATCAAAGCTCTAGGAGAGAGAGGCTGAATCTTCTCAAATATATCCTGAAATAAGAAAAACTACTAATTACTTTCACTTCTTCCATTGATTAGCAGATATACGTACAATCAAGTACCACCCATCTTTATTATTTATCAAATACACCCAGTCTTGAATGTGTGAAGAGATCAACCTAACATCTAGAGTCCTAGATCACATGTTTGGAATAATCATTATCTAGAATGTGTATAAATAAATCAAAACTATAATCCAAGTTAAACATCAAATTCAGGTTGACGAGGGTGGGAGAAGTCAACACTAAAAAAAAAGTAGCAAGAAAAAGTACATAATTGTGCACCTCAACATCAGTGCTTGAGTACAAGAAAAGATTCTCTGCTTCAATCTTCAATCGGTCTGCTCTATTTCCAATTTGCTCCACACTCTGCCAGAAGACAATTGGATAAGCATACAAGGGATTATCAAAATTTGAAAAGGAACTCACATAGAGTCCTAGACATTCTTAAGGTGATTTTTTTAAAGAAAAGGATGGAAATAGACTGCCCTGAAGTGTTAGGAGACTAACCTCCTCACCAGATACATAAACAACTGATGCTGATCCACCTTCACCTCGTCCTTCAGCTATAATTGCAGCAATCTTCAAATCAAATGTGTGAATTAACACCACAACGGAAAAATCAGAATTATAAATAAGATAATAATAAAAAATTAAAATATAACAAAGTAACTACCAGTCTACCACATTGAAACTGAGGTATACATATCTTGAAAGAAAATACCTGCAACAACAATGTACTCTTGCCAACACCAGGATCACCACCAACCAAAACTAGGGAACCTTCAAACCAGAAAGATCCAGACATTAATGGAGACTAAAAAACAGCTCTTTAAAAGAAACCTGGAGTATGATATCTTGAAAATGGCATGTCATGTCCGTTAGGAGTCAGAAGTCTTAGGGCTGTAAGTTTGACATAATTGATATACTATACAATTAAACTCTCTAAAAATAAGCTCGATATATGTTCAATGATCCAAATATATGACAATAAAGTAGTCAAGCCATCTAATAGAAAACCAAAGTCACCCACGGTAACATTTGGTTAGCTTTCACCTCATGACCCTCAAATTAATGAATGTATAAATCATTATGATAATAACTAAGGTTAAGTTAACTATAGAGAAATTTCGTTTTTTTCTCTTTTTTCCTTTCTCAAAAAAATACCAAACATGAGAGATATTTAGTTTATGGTATTAAGCAAAAACCATTTCAGAAGAAACTAAACAAAAGAAATCAAAGGCTAGTGTTCACAATATCGTTTAGCAAGTGTTGGATATCATATCCTACTCCGAAACAAATTTTCATCATGCAGATAAAAATTAACTTGGCAAGGATTCATTACCTATATTGCATGGAAGTACAAATTTTTAGCTCAATTAATTATCAAGGGGAATAGAGCATTAGAGATATGGAAAACAGAAATCATCACCTCACCTAGAAAGAATCGGATAATTGTACTTAGAAGCAAGTGACATAAAGAATGATTAGATTAAAATTAGAACGCACAAGCACAACAATATGTTAAAGAACTTTGAAGCATGAACCTAACCTGGTACCAGCCCACCACCAAGCACTCTCGCTACTTCATCTCCAAAGGGTCCAGGCCTAAATATCAAGCTCAGGTTAAAAGATAAGACATTCCCTCCTATGAATGTCCTTTTCTGATGTATTAAAAAATATCCTTACAAACCTCTGGATATCCATTATATTCATACAGGGTTACAATTTCTAATCCATAAAGTTCACTACCCTCCCATGAACGAAATGTTGGTGAGTTTGAAAAGTGATTTTGGATTAAAAGCACGTTGTGATTTGAAAATCCTAAGAACACTTAAAACTGTTTAAAGTATTTAATTAGTGTTTCTTTCCTCAGAAGGATCACAAAATCACTCTAATTGGAGATGCTTTCTTGAGTTTTATGAGCTTTTCTAGTAGAAAAGAGAGAGCAAAAACATAAAAGTTGAACATATAACTTACAGAGGAAGTCTCCAATCCAGAGTATTGATCCCTCGGTTCACATCTGTCAACCGCTGAGGATGCACGTCGGTGGCCTGCTTTGGAAGCCAAGCTCGAACCACATTTTCCGAAACTTCAAACCCGCGACTCCCCCCTCCACTATCTTCCCCCTCAGAAAACTGCTTCATCGTCCCAACCATATCACACGACCTACAAGTTCCCCACCACTGCCCCTCATTGTGCCCACAATTCGAGCAAACCCAAGAAACTTTGCTCTTCTTCTTCTTCACTCCCACGACCTTCCCCAAATTCGGCCTGCAAATCGACCCAGCCCCAAAACCCACCTTCCTCGCACTCTCAGGAGCCTTCTCACCCGATAAATCCTCGACCCCATTCGCATTTCTCAACGAACCCCCGAAGGTTTCGATTCCAATGCTCGGTTCAGGCTCATTTCTATCGCTACTGCTTTTGACCCTTTGAATATGAAGCCTACTCGTAACTGGATCGTAAATAGTCCAAACATTGCGACCATTCTCATTTTCTGGCCGGTCGCCGTTCGGAGCATCAACGGCGGTGGTCGATAGTTGGGCGCGGTTGAAACCGCCGGCGTAGTGGAAGAGGGAAGAGTTGTGATTTAGGCGGGAACGGCAGGAGATGAGAAAGTGCTTTCGAGAATAGAAGATTGTTCTGAGGGATTTCATGTCTGAGAGCTGCATCACAAAGTATTTGAGGGTTTTACTTTTACATTAGACGACGGAGGAATAATCACCCGCCAAATTCCATTAGAACAGAGTGCACACGACTTCTGAGTTCTGAGGTTTATGCCTCTGGTTTCCTTAAATTAGCCCTAATTTTAATACTTCAAACCTTTTTTTTTTTTGGTGCAAAAAAATACGAACTTTGAAATTTATTGCTATATTATTTCTTTAAAAAAAGAAAGTTGGAAATTGATTGGTAGTTTGAGACATGTGAAAGCTCAAAGCAGCATATTTAAGGTTGTTTGGTAATTGGTATATATATTTTTTGAATATAAGTTTGTTGATTAATGGTTTTCTACTTTATAATTGGAAAAATGATAAATTGGGTCATTAAATTTTTCATCAATATTAATCTAGTTTGTTTTTCAATACTTTTAAATAATTTATAATAGTTTCATAAACTTTGAATTTGTGTTTAATGAATTTTTATTATTGACCGAGTTAATTAATATTTTTGTTATAAACCATGTGTTATTTAAGGATTTGCACAACAAGTTGCCAACATGAACTCAGCGATGATTAACATCTATTTTGAATATCTCCACCCCACTTCTTGTACTAAAAGAAAAAAAACATCTCGTAGCAAGTTGATCTTGAACAAATTCAAATATTTAGTTAACATAAGTTTACACATTAACTTATCACACAGGCAAACTCAACAACACTCAGAGAATTTAAATATTTGTCTCACGAATAAACTTGTATAACTCGAAGTTGAGTAGCTACAAAATTTAAATATTTGTCTCACGAATTAAACTTGTATAACTCAGAAGTTGAGTAGGTATCCTAAGCCGTTATCTAGTTTAAGGATTTACCTTCTGTCAATTATAAAACGCATCTTTTATATTCTAGACACACGTTACTCAAATCTCCATTACCATTGCTTACTTTTATGTATAATACTAACACAAGTTTCACAAGACTTAAGACTTTCTAATCTCAAGCTTAATAAACATGTGAGCCCAAACATAACAAATTCAACATATACCTTGTAATATCAGTACATAGAACAAATTTACTCAGAATTTAAAGTTTCCAATCTCATTATATGTTCCGCAGTAGCCTCTTCTAGCTTCCACAAAAACAAATGACTGCACTCCAAGTTATGACATGGGTTTCATCTCTGGAGGGACATCCATTTTCCAGCTGAGAAAACACTTAAAAAAGCCTTGTCAATGTAAACCAGACTCAGCCATAGCAGTATATAAGAGCATTCCAACTCACAAGATTCTTCACTTTCATCTCATGAAATAACTTCTCTGCATCTCTAATGCCTCCTCCTTTTCCTTATACAGTTATAAGCGCATTTTTGGCGAACAAGTAATCTTCGAAACCTCCCTTTACTATATACCCATGTATCATCTGACCCCTGTCCAATGTAGCTAAATCACACAAACAGATAACACCACAACAAGCATTTCAGCAGTGGCACCAACACCTTTCATCCTCATCTTGCTAAACAAGGCCACGGTTTCTTCAAGATGACCACACCGAGCATGACTCGATAACAATGAAGTCCAAGTTACAGGGTTCGTTTTGACCCCTTCTGACTCCATTTAAGGAACATCCTAGAAGCACCATTACAATTATAGGCATAACCAGAAACCATAGTGTTCCAAGAAACTACACTTCTGAGGTGCATTTTATCGAACACTTTCCGAGCATCACCCATTCGTCCGAGCTTTGCATACATCCCGACAATTCATTCACAACATGTAAATGATTTTGGAATCCAAATTGCACAACATGAACAGTGAAGGTTCTTGCACAAGTTGAGACTACCCAAATTGGAAGAAGCCCCCAAAACCAGAGAGAAAGTAAACCCATCCCCCAAAGCCCCAATTCTTCTCATTTTCCCATAAAGTTTGAAGCGCTTCGCCGCAGTACCATGGTAGACATTTGCTCTTATAGTCGAATTCCATAAGAGCGAGATCGACAAACCTTCAAATGCGCAGTATCAAACACTTTCCAGGCATGGAAAACAAGCCCAGAACGGGCATAGACGGACACAAGCCGGGAGGCAATGAACGGCGAGCAGCAGGCGCCGACGACAACGGTTGGAGAATGAACTTGTTTGCAATGTTGAATCCCGCTACATTGCCGAAGAAGACGATCAAAGTAATCAAGAAGCTCGTCATATACGTGATTGAGAAGAGATGGGATTTGAAATAGTATCGAAAATTGAAGGGGAAATTGGTTGAGGATTGGGGAAAATTAGGCTGGAAACAAAAGGAAGCTGATTTGAATCGCTGATAAGAAGAAGCATACAGCATGAATCGAAAATGCGCAAGATTTAGGGTTTTGCTTAGAAACTAAACAAATTTTACTTTGGCGCGGATTATGAGATACACAGAATTCTTAATTGGAACGTCATTGATTGTCGGCATTGTTATAATTTTATCAAGAAAGAAAAAAACGATATGTCGGATAAACGTACAATTTTAAGACTTTTATTTATTTATTTTATTATTATTATTTTTTGTTTTTGTTTTTTTTTTTTTTTTGACAAGACACACAATTTTAAGATTAAGAAGGTTTGATGAGTCCTTTTGATAAATTCTGTAAGTTGATGCTACCAATAGCTTGAGTTTATTGGAAATTAGTTGGTTATATAAATTTTAAATAATACAGTCAATAGGTGATTTAAACGTTGAATTAAAAAAACTAACCACAGAAAATTTATTAAAAATTGAATTAAAAGCTTAAGCTGTCTTTAATATTTGATTTGAGTTTGATTTTATATTTTTCAAAACATGGAATGGAAGTAATAGTTTGGAAACAATTTCTTTTTTTTTTTTTTTAATTTAGATTCCGTATCTCAAATTTTCACCGGATAAAGGATATAGATATAGCCACAGTTGTTATTTTTTACGTTATTTATTAAAAGCATGAAGAACATATTTTCATATAAAATAGTAATACCATATGTTAACAAATTTTGAGGATTCAAACACATTTTTTAAACCACTAAAAGATAGAATATAACTTATTTTCTATCTAAAATCCATAAGTTTTTTTTTCTTTTTGTTTTCAAATTTTAGATTTGAAACTTAAAAGGATAACTAAATTTTAAAAAATAAAATTTTGACAAATATATTATTTTATATTATAAAATAATTTCACTCCTATCAAAATTAAAATAGGTAAAACAGAATATATTATAAATCAATAAAATTGTAAAAACTAATAAAAATAAAAATGTTGACAAATATATTATTTTAAATCCATTTCACTCCTATCAAAATTAAAATATGTAAAATAAAATATATTATAAATCAATAAAATTGAAAAAAAAATAATAATTATTATACAAAATTTTGTGACACTGACATGTATGTTAATAAGATTGAAAGTGTAAGGACTTATTTAGGAGTGCACAACCAAACGACAAAACAGACAGATAGAACTAAACCAAATCGAAAATCGGTTTCGTTTAGTTTGATTCGGTCTATAATAATAGTCAACCCAAATAATTATGTTCAATTCGAGTCAGCTGTAGACACCGTATTTGGCCCGACTACATTGTTTATTTATTTATTGTTTTATTTTATCTTTAATTTGGATTTTAGACTAAGCTGTTATGTTTAATTGTGTTTTAAGGTAAAGTTTATTGTTGGTTACCCTATTTCATGACTTGATGCACAAAGAAATTGAGGTTTATGTAGATGATATGATCGTCAAGTCAAGGCAAGGAGAAGAGCATACACTTGTCCTAAGAAAGCTATTTGAGCGATTGAGGAAATTCCAGCTAAAACTCAATCCCAATAAGTGCA